TATGTGTTTTCACTAATAGATGGCCATTGTTTTGCATCATGCAGGGATCTCACAGCTTAAACAATATAATGTCTCACAATTAAATAATACTTGTATGTTTCGTTTTCTAATTATAGTATATTCATGAAGAATTTTGTGCATGTTGTTTTTGTTGTTGTGGTGGCATGAGAGAGATTATTATTGTAGTTAGTGTGTTCCAACAATGCTGCACAATTTGAGGCGAACATTATTTTCTGTTGTTATTATATTATTTAAGCGCAAGTTGAATATGGAGGAATTTTGTCCTTTGTACGCATCTATTACGCAATGCACACACAAATAAATGTTCACTTTCGCTTCCATCTTTGCCCTCCGTAGCTAGCTGCTAGCCACAGTGGCGTCGTTTTTGTGTGTCCAACTTGGCGTATACGCAATCTTTATACGTAAGAACGAATTTTCACGCTTACCAGACCCCTAAAGCTAATAAAAACGCAATGGGTCCAACTCTTGAAATGTTCTAAGATTTAATGAAATACAGCTCTTATACTTTCAAAAATCTTAGCATTTATACAGACGGAGAAGGCTATTTCGACTCGGTACATTATACCGACCACGAATAAACATTCTTTGTGGTGTCTGCCACTTCTTCTGTATTTTACATTCGAGTATATGTGCAACTATTCTTTGATTCCTGCTTTCACACCACTGGCCAGCCTTCGCTTCACTGAATTTCAAAATTACGAACAGAATAATTTGCTATACGGTTGAATGGATGCCAGATACTTTATTGCTAGTTTTTTGTTTTTTGGCATTTGACAAATTATTGTTCGGTTTTGCCATATTATCGACATTAAACATTTATTCCATGGGAGTGTGTATGGCTTTATTGTTTGAGTGGGAATGGTCTTAAAAGCACTGGAAAGGCTAGAATGCTAAGAAATGGTCTAGTAAATCGTCAGTCACCATGTATGTATGTATACCAAGGTCAATGCGTTTTTACTCCATCCATCGGATGTCAGGAAAGCTCAGGAAATGGATCATAAAACATGTTGTTTTATTTTTGTTACCGTTTTATTCATGAATGTGAATTTTTATGTTATTCTAATACAAACTAAAACCCAACAACATGCTCTTGAATTTTATGTTGAGTGTTTCGGCTTACATGCTCTCTTAGCTCGTCCGTTAGTGCGCCACCCTGACATACCATTACGGGTCAAGGTTGTTTCGCATTGTAATGGCATACAGACGCAGGCGCACACGATCCTTGTCGTTATTTTCCAAAAGTCTTAAAGTTGTAGTATTTGCATATTTTAATTGAGTTTTTCATTTCATTTTGCATTTTTATGTTTTCAAAAAGCAAAACGTTTTGGTACATAGTCGAGACGAAGGATGAGAAAATAGGCAAATTAAACAAGAATGGAATGCTAGACCCAACTCGGAGTAAAAAATTGAAAATTATATTAAAAGAATTTTATATACCCTATACCCAAAGTTTTGTGAGAATATATGTGCGGTCTGTCCACCTTTTTCATTTGTGCAAACCTAGTTCATTTCATGTACAGGGTATACAAATATTATGTATATTAATTTCAAAACACATAACAAAGCTGGACCGGGGGCGGTCCGAAATGTTTCTACCCCGACAATGATACAACAGCTTCAAACAAAAGTTCTTTTTCAACATACTATAGTCTCCTTCTAAGTCAACACACTTCTCCAAGCGATGCTCCTACCTCTCCAACCCCTCCAAAATATGGTAGACGCGGTCTGTAAGCATCTTGGTGATCCCAGCTATCTCTTTGATCGTCCAGACGACCGTCCAGATGGCGAATTATGCCAATGTTTTTCTCATTGGATACAGTTTTTTAGGATCTTAACTTATAAGCTCGTGGGTCCACACTTAAATTCACCTGCCCATTTAACTTAACAGTTGCAAATAATGGAGAAGTCTGAAAAGACAGCGTTCTTCTCATTTTTCATTTTTCTTGGCGTATTGCTCTTCAAAAACAATTTCCATTTTTACAATTTTGGTGAAAACAGACAACATCATAATACCAACGGTTGCTTCATGTAAAAGGTCGTCTTCATTTCGGATTGCCCTCATATTTGACCACCCTGACTTTAGGAGGTTGTGCTTTTTGTTGCCTCCAAATGAAACTCTAATAGTTGACCAGTTCCGCGTTCAGCCAAAGTGTTTGAAATGTTCAATAGTGTTGTGGGATTATGGAATCCCATAGTCTTAACGAAGTGCTATTTGGACCACAGTTGCATTCCTAAAGAGTTGCACATTTATTTTAAAAAGACTAATTTGCTAGATAGGTTCTTGCTTTGCGTGTGGCATATATTCTTCGCCTCTTTGCTTGCACTTTCATATTATATTTATGAACCTACATCATACCCTTAGCTTCAGTTTGTCGAGTCTTGATGTGAAACACAAATGTAACACCTACAAACAGATACACTACTAGTCACTCAGCAACATATGCGATGCACCAGTCTAAATTTGTGCTTTGTTGATTGCTTGTTTATTTATTGCGTAACTGAATTATTTACACGGTGTGTTCAACTGACTTAAAAATCGTGAAAAATAAGACACAGAGACACACATACGAGTAGTTTACAAATTATTGCCGCGATGCCGTAAAATACTTACAAAAAGGCGAGCAAATAAAAACGAAAACGCCTAAGTTTTAAATCGGCAATATGGCAGCTGTATTGTCCTAGAGGGCCTGAAACAACAAGATGGCGGCAGGCAGAAGTGTTAGCTCTGACAGCGATCAACTCCAACAACAACATCGATTGGAGCAGCTGAGTGTCGGCCACAGCTTTTTGAGACCCATCGTACATCCTGAGTATTTGCTCAATAATGATCGAGGCTTGTTTAAGGTTTATTGTTTTTTCAAAGATTTTATTGGGTGAGTATGAATATGTAGAGGAATGTAGACGACCAGCAGCTACTCCACCTCTTAATCACACTTCTATATTCTACCATATGACACATAAAAGAACACCCAGTCGGCCCGTCTGATTGCTCGCTTTATTTACTGCCGCTTATCATTTTCACTTTGCTGCTGCTCTAAATATGTATGCTTATACCTACCCACCTATGTATATATACGAGTGGTATAGTTGTAGTGCCCGAATGTTGTTCGGTTGTGTGCATTTTATTTGTCTACACAACTCATATTTATTCAACTGATAGCTCTGAAGTATATATGTAGTATGTATAAAAATGTCACCGCCAGCATGAAGTCAACCTGTTGCGCACTCGGTTCGCTGTGCTCCTGTTATATTTACACCTATTATCACCTGCTTTTTGATAGCAGCTGCCACTTGATACGACCAACGCCAGAATAAATGGGCTTTTATCAATTTTAATGCATACTTTCAGACCTACCTGAGTAGATTTTCCTCCAAATTCCGAAATTCCGAAATTCTGCAGTGAAAACTGTATATAGTCGTATACTACGTATGTATGTAGTTTTGGAGTATAATGAAGATTGGAGACCACACTGAGTAGGTACACATGTGTATTATCAGCATGGACTGGATTTCAGAAACGGCCGCACCCGCATTGATTCTGTTTTTGACTTTAGTGAATGCTGTGCACAATTCCAAAGCTACACCAAAATGTAATTTATAGGTAATTCTTTAGGTTCTTTATATTTTCATCCACTTAATCCTAAGAATATTTGTTTTTGTCTGCAGAAGAGTTTTGTCGGAAGATTTTAGTTTAGTTCGAATGTATGCACCACAAGATACTTATATTGTTATATAGTGTTTAGTATGTCGTAGGAAAGAGAATAACCAAACGTACTCAAATCGATAATTTTTATAATTAGCCTGTATCGCAGCGTATTATATGTTTTTCCGATTCCTATTGAAAAAGTACGTGCATACTCTACATTTGTGTGGCAAAAAGAATAGAATTTAAAAATCTATTGGTTCTTGGAGAATCGGTTCAAATGCATACTTGATGTAGCACATTATAACTTGAAAGAGGCCCTGAATATGTATGATCTCATTAAAAATTATAATAAAATTGAACTTTGTTCGGTTAACGATTAATCTTATCTTATCGGCAGTCAACATCGTTTTTTTTTTTTTTGCAACTCTAGCTGTAATAGCTGGAAATAAAGGAATATGAAATGTAGACATTTGCAACTTTTGCCGTTATGTAATGGCCGGGGAATGACCCTAAATCTTAAATGATTATAGATCACTGTGGAATCACGATGGAATGACCCTTAGACGGGCTTCTTAATTACCGATACTTTCAACGGAAGATAGGTATTCTTCCGTTCACATGCTAAGTATATCGTTTCCAATAACTCCACTAAAAGAGAGGCGGGCAATATGCGTTTCACGCAGAAACGCACCCTTTACACGTTCCACTTTTCTAGTCCTGTGGGTTCCGATTTTGTGTGCTCTAGTGCTGTATAGTTGAACTCAACAAAATCAGTAGACTTACTAACATACTATGTTTATTCGCCCTCTACCTCCAGAGAAACATTCAACGATATAACCATGTCCAATAACCCAACATGGTATCCAGGTTCCCCTGCGTCCGAGAAAAGACAAGTTTATGTTTTCTGATGAAAACCAATTTTTTAAGTGGGTACAGGGTTCTTATAATTTGAGCCGGCAAGACTCTTGCATTGCATTATTGTTTCATATACTACTTATTTAAAAGCGAAGAAGTATAATTGCGAGGATATATAAACTTCGTTTTGATTCTTTATATTATAGTAAATATAGTAAATATAATATATATATTATAATTGTTGATACATGTAGTGCGCGCACGACTTAATCAGAATATTATTATATATATTTAAGCCTGCAACCATAACAAAGCAGTTTACTATTGCAAAGACGCCAAACTTAAGATATTATTATTGTTAATCGGTTTGGTGGATTCAGTGAGCCTTGCGAACGAAGTTAGCTATGTTGTCAAATACATTCCTTACATTGTCCTCGATCACAAGCTTAGCTCACAAATTATATTAGTACACGTTTTGGTTTTGCAATTTACAAACAGATTATGTGTTATGAGGTGGCTGGCGAAATCAGCATAGTTACTCTTGTCCTTGCTACAATCGTTGCAATCCTGGGCTATGTCGGCGCCTTCTACCAACTGCAGCAAACCCACAAACGAGATGCGCAGCCGCACAAAGCGCCGGATCTTCCGCCACTCCCAACTATAAGGCTAACAAGCACGCAGCTAATGGGGTTCGATGGGAGGCGGTCCGATGGTCGCATTTTGGTGGCTCTGAAGGGCAAAATTTATGATGTATCCTCAGATATATCCGAGTTCGGGTTGGGTGGTACTTTGAATCATGTGGCTGGCAGAGACTTTACCCTGTATCTGATCAGGATAATGGAGTTGCATGGAAAGCAGGTCGACTATATAGTACGCTGGGAGCAAATACTGGGGACGAACTATGCCATGGTGGGATATCTGGTCGATGAAGAAGGAAATCCAAAAGAAAGCAACTGCGCCGTACACAACAAGCATGAAGAGCATGAGGATATGGCCATAAACCGAATAGATAAAACAACAGAAACACCTCAAAAATCAGTGGTTGAAGATGTGTGAGATAACTAAAAAATTTCTGTAATTAGCAAGTAATGGCTTTTATAAGTTTAAATTCTTTTGAGACTGGGTCCGATGTCAATCAATGGATGTCATTCATCAAATTTGTTCCTAAGTCGCCCTTGTTATAGATTTCCGATTTATGGTAAATTGTTATTTCTGTCTTTAATTTCATGGATGGTGGTAATGTGGGTATTAAATAAGATTATGAAAGGCACAGCCACTCAAGTGCTTTGACAGTGAAAAAGACGCGATAAATTCGAACCAAATTTATATTCAAATATCTGACTAATCAGAGTTTCCTGTCTGCAAGTGCTGCTGCTTGACTTCCACCCAAGCTTGCCTAATTTCCCGAAATAGTTCTGCCAAATAGACAGCTCGTCCCATCATCGCCCACACACTCGTACTCAGTTGTGCGGCAACTCGTCCCCCTTTCAGCTTTCGACGGACGACCCTTTGCCCCGGACATAAAATTCAATTTTCGTTTTCATTCTATGTCGATGCACCTCACAATCCTCGCGTAACGCTTGGCTTTCGTGATTTCAGGGTATTGGGCGAGCCTTTCCCTTTATAGGTTCGGTCGCCGAGTAGTAGTCGCTGCGCCGTAGTCGGTGGTCCATGCATTTATTTCATTAACAACATTTATTCACTCTGGGCGGAAAGATTTCTGTTGATTTCTTGGCTCGTTTCTGTTGCCGGGTGACGTTCTTGGCAACAATTTTCACCGTCGCGCTGATTAAACCAATTAATTTTTTGCGACTTTCGTAGTCTTTACGTCTTTGGGGTAAAACAACTAAAACAAAATACATACATTCCAAGCTTTTGTGTCATTTGCAAACATTTACAAAAATTGTGTACTTATTTAAATTAATTTTATGCGGGTACCTTCATGATATAAATATTATTTTATATTTATAATGTTTATTATATCGTTTTATTCAATTCTAACCAATTCGGCCTTACTTTACTTTCAGGTAAGTGGACATTATTAATATGCTAAGTAAATGAGAACCGTGAGTAACAAACGATGCACCCGTATGTATGAAAATGGATAGCGGGTTTGGGTATATCCTATATATATCCTATATTTTCTATTATACAGGCTACAAGACGAGTCGATCCGATCTAGCCCCATCTGTCCGTCAGTAGGAACACCTTCATTCCTTTCGTACACAACTGAAATGGAAGGTATAGACGGAAATATTCACATGTCAATTAGTAGGTGTGTGGCAGCTAGTTGCTTCCGACACCAAAATGTTGTCTGGCTATTGGAAAACATTTGAACAAGTTTACATAAAATTTTTTGTATTTGCAATACAATTACGGCTTTTGAATCATTGAATATGGTGCTGCAGTGAGCTAGAGATTCTGCTCTATCGGGAACGCTAAGATTTTAGTCACATAAAGCGTGCAGTGAGGTTCCTGAGGTAATAGAAAACTTTACTCAGATAACAGAGACTCTTAACATCTCTTAATGCTTAACAAATTAAGGTCGATGTTTTGGGAATGAAGCGCGTGGCCGCCAGACACGCACCAAATCAATTAAGTTCCCTTGTACCCAAAAGGGAAAACGGGTAACTAGTTTTGTGCAAATGTATGTAACACACAGAAGAAGACGTGGCAGACCTCACAAATTACATTTACTATTGATCAGGGTGACAGGACGAGTCGATATAACCATGTCCGTCCGTCGGTATGAAAGCAAGGATCTCAGAGAATATAAGAGCTAGAATAACCAAACTTGCCACCCAGATTCTTTGAAGTCATTTATGTCAGTTATGAAAAAGTTATAGCCATAAAAGCAATCTTTGCCCCTAGATACAGGTACAGGTTATATTACTATCGGGCTTGGACGGCTTATCCGAGTATAAGACAACATTTTTGGTTATCGCTCAGCCACCGTATTCGTCATTTTTGACTCCCTTTGGCTGCTGCCTGCCATATAAAGTCATTCGCTAAAGGAACTGAAGACTATACCGAATAATATCTTTTCAATGATATTATATTATTAAATTATATACAAGTATATCCCTTAAAAAGTCCTGGTGCAAAATTTCAAGCCGATACCTCAGAACTGTGGCAGTTGTGATAATTAAAACAAACAGATGGACGTCTCGGTATGCTGATAATTTGAAAGCCTTTTTGTCTGGGGAGTCTACTTCTTCGTATGGAACAGTAAAATATTGGGGCGCCAAGATCGTCTTCGATGTCAATAAAGTTAGGCGACGCCAGAAATGGTTTAAAAAAATCGAACTGTACATACTATACATCCGCCAACTTGGTTTCAAAAAGTGCTTGACGTACGATTTGGGATGAGAAAGCTATGCTGAAGATACTATAAGTTCCGTATCTGCTCACATTGGAACACAAACAGCGTCGTAAAGATGTTTGAATACAGTGTTTAGCTGTTTAATAACAATAAAGCCGAGTTATTGAATTCATTCATTACCAGGAGTCAAGAGGAGCGAAGGAAAAGTCAAAGTAACTAATTGAAAGGGGGAATCGGCTTCACAGAAGGTGAAAACGGTTCCATAAAGACGGTTGATATAAAGATCATTTTTCACAAATTTTTTGTGGATTCGTTGTTAGGCTGGCAACTTTTTTGACCGGGTAGTTACTATAAAACGATTTCTCGTGTATATATACACTTACATTGCACAGTGAAGTGTATAATTTACCAAAAAAAAATGTACGCTAGTGCTGTGATTATGTAATATAAGTGTGGCATATTTAAATGTTGATCACTTGAGCGTATACATATGTACATACATGGGTACTACAATGCGCGATAAGATTTTAAAGATAACGATACAAATTCTTCCAGCAAATAACACTGGTCAACACGTCTTGCAGAAAAAATACTATAATATCCAACATTTTCTGTACGGAACAATAGTTATTATTCTGTTGAATGGAATTAGGTGCAAAGGATGTGCGGAACATAAACTATTTCTTTTTTCCACACAGATCTATAATATTTTATTGAATATATGGCATTTGCAATTTGTTGAAAAGTCTTCATATAGACTAGACGTCCACTTCGCATAGTTTATACTATTTATACTATTTAGTAGTGTAGTTCATTGTATAAAAGTATACCTAAAGAATGTTTACATTTGCTGACTAGTGTAATTAATGGCTTTGCTTCAAAACCCTCGACTATCCACGTTCAAGCTGATTCCGTTCATTTAGTGCCGCCGACTCTCTTAACTAAAAACAACAAAATTTATTTTTGAACTTTTCGTAGCAGTGCGCCGCTAGATTCGAAACTGAGTAGCTGCTCAGAGGAGCAGAGGCCGACGCTGACAGCGTACGTAAATATTTTGTTTTATACAGTTTTTTAGAAAATCTGTATTCAGTTCGAATTCAGTAAACAAAATCTTGTCGCCGGCGCGAGTTTGCTTGCCGAGAGAGAATCAGAAAACAAGCTCGTTTTTTGTTTTCGCTGATATTAATATTATTGTTGGTGTTGCTGCTGGCATTGCTCTGCCTCTGCCGTACACATTTGGCCAGACGCTGGCTGGCAATACGTAGTGCTATTTATTTAAACAATTAATACTTCGCGTTACCGACGACGCAAATGTGGTGAAAACGAGCAACAAAATCAATTCATACAAGTTGAATGTACGTTCTATAGGTGAAGATCTTGAAAATATCAAGTCTGGCCAACTGATGTGCCTTAATCGTCGTGTCTGTGGTGTTTGGTGTTTGGTGTGTGTTGTGCGGTGTGCGGTGTGGGCCCTGACCTTGTTACGCTTGTGTTTTGAAGACTTGTTACCTATGTGTTTGGATAATTCTGACGGGCGGTATTTATGTACACACTTAACGCAGCCAAGTGCTTAGTTCGAATGTATATATAGTATATATAGTACATACTACGTGAATATGTGTGTACGGTAGGCCCAGTAAAATGTTTTTCATATTAAACGCCAACTATTAAAAATTGAAGTGTACATACATAAGCACGCTTGAGTCACGCAAAAATAAATATATACGTACATATAATACGTACACATAAGTATACGAATGCTAAAAATAGCGAAACACAAAACATATTGAATTGTGGTACCAATTTTAAGTTGCCTCACATTTTTTTTTTATAATCTTTTTCTCGACGTGGGCCTCCATAATTTGTTTTACACTTCGGCGCGCTCGTCACCATCGTCGTCATTGACTCTGCCCGTCTGCGTTTTGGCAAAAATAAATACCGTTCAACAACACTGTATAATAGATGCCGAGATAAATCTCACCTACCCGCAAATCAGCTGCCTTATAGCCGTATCTGAAAGTTTGTGATGGTATTTCTGTCAAACGCGCACGACTGTTTTAATCATTCTCGGGCCATTCGTGTAATCCAGCGAAACAAACGGGCGGCGCTTTGTCGTTGTGGGCTTCATTAGCAAACATTTCTCTATAAGTTGATTAATTACAAGCAAAAATATTTGGCAGCTCGTTTGAAGGCAGGAAAAAAACAAGTATTTAAATAATTTTTGTGTGCATATTTTGCAATTTCATAATTTCACATTTAGTAGCCTTCTGCTGTTGTGTCGATTAGATCCATTTAGTAATCGACCAGTTCTTTCATTCGGATTGAAAAATATTCTGTATAGTTCTCTAACTTCAAGTGAACTTTCCCCACAACTTAACCACTCGGCGCGACAATAAACACGACAATCAAGAAACGCAAGCTTATCAAAGTCAGAATGAAATTCTATTACAAGTGATGGTGAGAGAGAGAGAGAGAGAAGGCAAATATCATACCGAATCAATTTCAACTTAAAGTGCATTTAAAGAATATAATTACTATCGATTTTTGTGTCAAAACACTGATTAGATAAAAATTAATAAAGATAAAGGTAGAAAATATCAGAGGCAAAGCAAAAACATCAAAAGGCTGTGAAAACAAATATAGTTTGCTCCAGACCATCATGCTGAAATATCCGCGCACCTCTTCGTCCACCTCATCTGGATATTATGATGACGATGAATCCATGATGAATCCCTTTCAGACGCCACCGGCCTCGCCACAATGCGTGCCACAGTACTTGGAAAGGCATATGGTGCGCATGTTCAGCACGGAAGAGTAAGTTTTCAAAAGCTCAAAAGTACATAAAAATATGTAAATAGGAATACAAAATTATTAAGATATTCTTTGAACTATATACAACATTTTCATTAAATCTGATTAAAATATGCCACGCCATGGCGTAGTAAGAAACCTAGTGGCCAAGGCAGACTGCGACTCATTATTTCGTATCTCAATACTTGTATGTGCTGAAATAAAAATTCTACTGCTCATACAATTTCTATTATCAATTTGGGTCGAAAGTCTGTTAATTGTCTTACTATAAAACTAGTAAACAAATTGGAAGACATATGAGTATATTTAAGTCTTTTTCATTTTATTTATTTTCATATTTCCATTTACATATACATAGATAGGCATGTTTATTTGTTAAACGAAAACAACTATGGATACCAGACTTAGTTTGTAGACTTTTCTTATCAATACGCAGATAATGTTATATATTATAAACCATCGGTGATTCTATATATGTGACCTAGGACCGATCACATTTCGTAAAATAACGTTATACGTTGTAGATAAAGCTTAAAAAGATTATATTAGGTTTGTGCATTTTATGTCGCAGGCAGATAGTAGCATCTCCGATGACGAATCGATCTAAAAATATCCGTCCGTTCGTCTATATGAGCGCCTGAACAACTTGTTATGTAGGCTCCTAATTACCCTCTTCTCCCTATGTTTCATCCAAATCAGTGCATCCTATGAAAAGTTATTAGCGACACAATCTTATGTCAATACTACGCGTACAAATTACAGCAAAGGTTTTCGTTTTGTTCCTTCTTTTTGTTTATATATATCTAAATATATAGTAATTTTTTACGTTCCCTTTTGTTCTAATTATTGAAAATTACAGAAATGGCTAACCGACTAAGCAGACGAGCTACTAATAAGACTAGACTTTACAATACTTTGGGCAGAAACCATGTTCAATAACTGCGGTTTATGGGAGAGGTTAATGCACGACTAAAATAAAATCGAGCACCTTTTAACCTTTCGTATCTATTTAAGCTTTCAATACACACCATTACTGGGGCAT